ACGTTCAAAATTTTAGTAAAATTAATAATAACTAATATAATTATTTTTTTATTTAAAAAAATTTGTGTTAAATAAAAAAAATTAATGAAATACCGTCTGAAATTGGAAGCAAAAAAGGAAAAAAACTGATTTTTCGCTATAATATTCATTTTCAAAAGAAAAAGAGAAAAATAATAATTGTAATTTCTTTATACTAGAAAATGGAAAAAATATGTAAACGATAGATTTAGTTTTTTCTATTTAATATAAAATAAATACATAATTTAAAACAGAAAATGTTGACAAAAATTATTCCCTTGTAAATAAGAAAATAAATAACAAAATAAATAAGAAAGAAGAAATAAAAAATAATTAAAATATAAATAAAAAAATAAATAAAAAACAGAAACTGAATAAAAAATTTACAAGTTACTAAAATATTAAAATAATAAAAACTAATAAAAACTAAATAAGAGAATAGAAAAAAAATTTTTTAAAATACGAACTAAATAAAAGAATAGAAACTAGATAAAAAATAAAAACTAAGTTAAAAAAACGAAATAAAAAACTAAAAATTAAAAACTAAAAAAAAAGAAAAGAATAGAAATAAAAAAAAATAAAATAATAGAAATAAAATAAAAAAATAGAAAATAGATAAAAAAAATAAGAAACTAAATAAAAATAATAAAAAAAAAAAAATAAAATGGTAAAAAAATGTATACCGGTAACTTTTATCCTTCCGTATAATAAAAAAAATGACGATATTCGAGAATGGAAAAGGGGATGAGACAATTAGAAAAGCGCGAGAAAAAACATTGGATTGTCAGTGGTACAAATAATAATTCAAACGACACTCACACTTAGACACACAACGTAAGAGGAAAGAGTACCGGATGAAATCATTTTGCACATCCAATCTTGCTTTGTTAATAACCACGCATGTCAGTCTATATCCACACTATTTTTTCTCCTACATTTATATGTTTATGCCCCTGGACATAAGGAAAAAAACAGTATTGCAATTTTTATTTCTGATAAAATGACAGCAATTATTTTCGTTCACTTCAAACACTCTATTCATAAAAATAATTTTTTTTTTTTACAATTTGTGTCTTTTTACGAAGTTGAAGTCCACAACGTTGATCAACGAAAAAAAATTGTTTACTAAGTAAATTAATTATAGATAACGCAACAATATTGCCTCAAAAATATTTAGAAAAAAAATTGATGTTTGTGTTTTATTGATAATTGTTTTACAATTAAATATTATAAATTATAAATAATAATTGAATTTAAATAAATTTTTTTCGTTGATCAACGTTGTGGACTTCAACTTCATGTCTTTTTTCGAAATTTTTTATTCAATTATTAGTATTTAATTAATGAATTAAAAAATAATTGTTAACAACAATAATAAAATTGGCGTATTTTTCATTATTATTATTATTATTATTATTATTATTATTATTATTATTATTATTATTATTATTATTATTATTATTATTATTATTATTATTATTACACTGAAAAAAAACATTATTTGAATCAAATAAAAATTATTTGATTCAAATAAATTATTTATTTGGTTGTAATCCAATAAATGTGTATTTGAACCAAATACATAAATACTTGAACTAAATATTTTATATTATCGCACCAAATAATTGTTTATTTGAATCAAATACAACTAATTCAAATCAAATAAATAGAATATTTGAATCTAATAAATGATTATTTGAATCAAATTCAAAATATATTCAACTCAAATATATATTTATTTGACCCGAATATTTTATTTAATTGTATCAAATAACTATTTATTTGAATCAAATACAACTAATTCAAATCAAATAAATAAAATATTTGAATCTAATAAATGATTATTTGAATCAAATTCAAAATATATTCAACTCAAATATATATTTATTTGACCCGAATATTTTATTTAATTATATTAAATAGCTATTTATTTAAATCAAATTCAAATTATTTTAATCAAATAAATCGAATATTTTAATGTAATAAATAATTATTTGAATCAAGTATGAAAATTATTTCATTCAATATTGATAATTTCAACATCAACAAATATTAATAAAAAAAATAACTAATTGCAAAAGATAAATACTGATGACAATTCATTGATAGTTCACTTTCACATTTTTTTATACACTTAAACGCAATTTTTATTACATACACACATTTGAAAAATCCTAACGCTTGGGGGTACGAACCCACGCCTAACCGAATATTCACGCACCGAAGTCACGCACGCTAACCACTATACTACGCTCGCATGGGACTCTCAAATCTTAAATACTCTCAAGTGTCACTAACTATTTTCGTTTCAAATAATTATTTAATTGATTGAAATATTTTTTTATTTGTCTTGATAAAATATTATATTAGCTTTGAATAATAAATTATTCGGAGCAAATAATTCCGCTTATTAGAATCAATAAAATAAATTTATTGTGTCAAATAATTTTTATTTGCATCAAATAAACGAAGTATTTGAGTGAAATAAATGAAAGAATAGTTTCAAATAATTCAATATTTGTATTAAATAAATTTATTTATTCAATTCAATTAACTATTTATTTGAATCAAGTACGATGTATTTGGTTCAAATAAGTATGATTCAAATAATTGCAGATATTTAAATCAAATACATATTTTTTTGATCCAACTAAAAAGTATTTAAATCAATTAAATATTTTTCAAATAATTTGAATTATTTGAATCAAATAAATTTTTTTTTCAGTGTATTATTATTATTATTATTATTATTATTAACACAATCCGGAAATTTCGACAAAAATTTCAGCATTAAAAAAATTGTTCTTCATTTGAAAAAAAGGAAAAATTTTCAAAAAAATTAAAAGAGATTAGAAAAAATATTTGATTAGTAAAATATATATAGACACGCACGGGATATTCTCTTATCAAATCGCAAATATCGAATTAATTATATTTTTCATCGTTAAAATATGTAAGTATATATATATATATATATATATATATATATATATATATATATATAGGTATATATATATATTTAATAATTGGCATCAATACTTCGTTATCATTTCCTGAAATGAATATATATATATATATATATATATATATATATATATATATAGGTATATATATATATTTAATAATTGGCATCAATACTTCGTTATCATTTCCTGAAATTATAGACCAATTAACTCATTATTGTAATAAAGGGACCATTTGGTTCGTTGCACACGTTAATTATCTTCCAATTTTAATATCTAATAATTATGGAGTAAACAACCTTTAACATTTTGATACAATCAATTCACGAAACAATAATGAATGTGACGTGAGAGGGAGAGAGAGAAGAGCCCTTGATTGCAAAATTTTAATTAAATTTATACATTAATAATTATATCATAAAAAGAATAATTACATTATTATAAATGCAATCAAATTTATAATAATAATAATAATAATAATAATAATAATAATAATAATAATAATAATAATAATAATAATAATAATAATAATAGTTCATTATTAATATTATTGTTGTTTAAAATAAATAATAATTTGATAATTTAATAATACAGCTGAAAAAAAAAATTATTTGATTCAAATAATCGATTACTTGACTTGTATTAAATAAATTTTTACTTGAATCAAACAATTTTTATTCAAATCAATTAAATCGTATTTGTATCAAATACTGAAATTATTGCTGTTTAAATATAACATTTATTTGACTGAAATAAAAATTATTTGATTCAAGTAAATATTTATTTGATAAAAGTCAAGTAAACGGTTATTTGAATCAAATAAATTTTTTTCAGTGTAGTAATGAATAAATTATTATTATTACTATTGTATTTACTATTTATATAATATTGTAATTATTATTGTATAATAATATATTTGAATAATTCAATTAATGGAATAATAAGTAATAACTAATTAATTAATATTGATTAAATAATATTAATTAATAATGAAATTTTTATATAAATATTATCAATTTTAATATAAATAATAAGATAGAATAAGAAAAAAAAATTAATTGAAATAAAAAGAAATTAAAAAAAAGTAATAGACCCAGATTTTTCTGAAATAGCTTCCATACAACTTGTGTCACGTGCTGGTAAAATTACTTATACTCTGTTTTCATAATCAACGAACTGTGTTATTATTATATTCATTGTCTGCTTTTCGATCAGTAGATTCTGAACTTCGAACGATAATGAGAAACATGACTAACTATTATAAAATTTTCTCAATGATCCTATTACCAATGTTCAATGAAGTGAATAAATACTGATAAGCATCAAAAGTATTCCAAAAAATTTATATATATATATATAATTATATATTCTACATTCATAATTATTAAAAAATTAAATATTAATACAACCAATAACTAATTCTTAAAAATCTGAAAAAACTGTTTAATATTTATATTTGGGAAAAAAATTATAGTGGAAAAATTCTTTGTAAGAAAAAAAAGTTGCAAGTCAGATTTGCGCGAGATGGCACTTTAACTTTTATTTTAAACGGTCTCTTATTTTCTTTTATAAAACTCTTCTTCTTCTCAAGTAAAGAATAGAGCCTGTCACGTTTTCCTCCGCGAAAGGAATTTTTTTTTCAGCCATTTTTTCTCTTCGTCTTTTCTTCTTCTATGAACTTTGTTTACTAAGCTCGTGAAGAAACGGATTCGCATGTAAATTTTCTAAAATTCGAAAAATTGACGTTGTTTGTTAATTTTTTCCTAATTTTTTACAACGCGCATTTTTACACCTCTTCTGAAAGAAATGTTCCCTTTTTAAAAGAACAATTTTTAATGTTTTAAAAAGGTAAATTTTGTAAACTGAAATTAAAAAATAATCATTTTAGGTCTAGTGTTAAAAAAAGTGTTCTGATTTCTACACTTGTCGACGCTAACTGACCGCATAGAATAAAATAAGAGAAAATAATCGAAATAGAAAATAGTGTTTTTTTGAATAAAATAATAATTATCGACTCACCACCCGACTTGTTCCTTCCACCTGTTTTCGGAAGTTTAGCGACACTTGGCGAGACGAAGGTCAGCAATAATAATGGAACAATCAGCCAAATGAGTCTTCGCACAGTTTTCTTGGCACTGGTCCATCTCACAACACTAGAAACACATCTTAAACAACGACCCACGTTCACACAATTTCGACACCAATGTCCCTTTAAACACTCGACATTAGTTCTCGATGCACAAATATCCCGATGTCTGAACCGATTGTCCAGGCACTTACAACAGTCTTTATCTGACTCCATTGGCAAACTATGGAGTCGTTGACAGGCTTGACAAAATGTTTCCGCTATTTTGCAAGCCTCCGATAACAATGATGATGCTAATGATGCTAATGATGATGTTGATAATGATGATGACGACGATAATGTCGATGATGATGATGTTGTTGTTGATGATGATGTTGTTGATGATGATAGTGAATTGAGAGCACCAGGACAGTAGCAGCAACGATTCTCAAGAATCTCATCAGCGAATCTCGCCTGAGATATCATTGAATCGTCCGAATTCATCTTGGATGATAATAATTGTCGGCTTTTCACTCGCGAATCACTCCACATTTTTTTTTTTTTCAAGACTTCATTCTCATTCTAATGAGAGACATTGTTTTTGTGGGGCTCCGATTGCGCCCGACATTAAAGTCAACACTTCAGATTCATAATCATTGGCCAATGATCATGGTTCTTCATTCTGAAAAATAAAAACATATTTTTACTAACTAGTCCTACTTTCTTTTCTTGCTTGTTAAAGTTTAAAAATTATTTTGTTAATTAGTCTGTAGTTCTTTTCTAATTGTATCAAGTTTTATTAATCCGATAATTTTGTAGCTAAATTGGAATTAATCGGGCTTTTGTGCGCACTAAATTTACATGAGATTTAAATTAAAAAATTAAAAAATTTTAAAAATTTCTCTCATGGGCCTAAATTTTATTGAAAGTTAAATCCGAAATTAATTCGGATTTTCGTAATTAATTCTTTGACTTGGAAGAAGTGTACCTTTACTATAATTCGAATAAATATTTTTACTAATCTTAAGCAATACTTTTAACTAAAAATTAGTAACGGAATTTAAAAATTTAAACTACTTTCAACTCCTCGAATGTTCAAAACTTCGTAAATTCAATCCCTCGAAAGTTTAACTTCTCCATAGTTCAAAACCTCGAAAAATTTCACCAAATTCAAATTTCGAACTGAATCCGTAAAATTTGTCCGAATTTTAAAAAATTCTCAATGAATTTCATCTATTGAATTCGGAAAATTAAAATTGAATCCAAAATTTACAACTCCCTTCAAAATTTTGAAACAAATATAAAAAAAAATTTTCGAAAATTGAAAAATCTTTTCTAATTTCTATAATAACCAAATCCAAAAAAGAAATAGCTAGACATTTTCCAACCCCAACTAATTTTGAACTGAAATCCCGAAAATTCAAAATTCCTTTTACTTATAAAATATGAATTCGCCAAAAAAATTAGTCCGAAATTATATTAGTACCAATTATTTTCGTACTAAATTCGGACAAAATTAGTCCGAAACCTACAAAATTCGAAATAGTTGACAAACGTAAATGAACAATTTTCGAAACGACGTTTAAAATTACCACGATTATTTAGTTATTACTGCAATTTTTTAGTGGGCAAAAGGGGGGAGAGGGGGGGGCAAAAAAATTGTCAATGAAAAATTTCCCAGTATTTTTCTCACTAAAAAAATTTTTTTTTGTCCTATATATACAGAGATGACGGAGAGAAAAAAAAAAAAGAGAGAGAGAGAAAGAGAGAGAGAGAGAGAGACATATATACGTGAAGGATGAATGGTTTCTACGAGAACTCTCATTCAGACTCAGACTCGGGCTCGAGAATTACAAGAGTAGAAGCTTAAACATTACGGAATGAAGCTCTAATGACGCGCGCACCCGGAAAAAAACTCTCAATATAAGGCAGATAAAAAAAGAAGAAAAAAAAAATAAAAATGAAGATAGGAGAGTAGTGGAAAATATACGTGAATGCCGTGAGTATTTCTGAAAGGGATCTGCCATTAAAAAGAAATGAGGTTACTTTTGTTTCATTTTTAGAATATGCAGATTGACTTCACTCTTCCACTTCTTTTTTTGCAGATCCTCCTTTAAATTCGTTAAAATTACGTTCATTCTGTACCAAAAAAAAATTGAATTAAATTCATCTTTAAAAAAAAATTGTATTTCTTTTCGTTAAAAATAACCTCTTCTTCTTTTATTTTATTTATCTTTTTCTTCCCCCAATAATCTTCTTCTTCTTCACAAAGAAAAAAGATAATAACAAACAAACAAAATGCCATCTATAAAATTTATAAATAAATAAATAAAAAAAGGACAAAAACAATAATAACAAAAATAATTTTTTATAATTATCATTTATGCAATTTATTATTTTTATTTTATGCAATAAATTATTCCTGTTCCTTCCCTCCAATATATCTTTCTTTCTCACAAAAAAGAAAATAGAAAAAAAATAATAACAAATAAACAAAATGCCGTCTATAAATAAATAAATTAAAAATTAAAAATAAAAAACGCCTTTTGGAACAAAATAGTAATATTAAGAATAGTTAAATAATAGTAATATTATTTATTTATTAATAAATAAATAAAATAAATATTAATATAGAAATAATAAAAATAGTAAATGATACAATAATAATAGTAATTGTAAATGTAGTGAGTAGCTAAGTGGTTAGATGGTCTACATGGGAGCAAGTAAGGGTTTAGTGTTCGATTCCCGGTGGTTAAAAATTTTTTTTCTCTACTTTCTATTTCTTAAACTTAATGTTTAATTATAATAATAGTGATAATAATAATAATAATAATAATAATAATAATAATAATAATAATAATAATAATAATAATAATAATAATAATAATAATAATAATAATAAACGTAACTTGATAATTACATAACAAAATATAATATATTAACCCTCATTACTAAAATAAACCCGCAAAATAGGAATACTAAAAAAGAATATAATACATACATCAATTCTTGTGGTGCTGCATTCAAGAATTTATACGGTTTATAAAAATCTTCATTAAACGACATTGCGCGGAAGAAAAGTATTTCAAAAATCCCACAATAAATTATATGGTTTTTTTTCATGAGGAAAAAAAAAAAATATATATATATATATATATATATACTTATATACAATGTTTTACATGTTCATGTTCACCCCGCGATAGAAGTTTAATTCTCGAAGCTTTAGGTGTCAGAAAAGTCTTTTTTTTTTCTTTCTTCTTCTCGCACATATTCATATTACAAGTTGTGTGTGGAAGCCGAACGAGCGCTAAAATGCAAACGACGTCGTAAGCCGATTCGTAAAACACGCGAGCAACGTTAAGTTATACATTAAGCCGGGTAAAGAATGGCACAAAGTTCCTCTCTATACATTATCAAAAAAAAAAAAAAATTCTACTACCGTTAGGTAGTTGACTGGAAAGTAGTTAAGAGAAAAAAACTACTGTCCTTTTTTTTAGTTCGTCTATAACCCTATTTTGTGAATGCGGTTAGTTTTTAGTTATTCCTCGCAGTTAATTTGCAGTAAATTATTATTTATTACTATTTATTATTATTACTTACTATTAGTTATTATTATTATTATTATTATTATTATTATTATTATTATTATTATTATTATTGTTATTATTATTTATTAATATTATTATTCTTATTATTTATTAATATTATTATTCTTATTATTTCTAATATAACTTGCATATATAATACAAATATTTTAACATATAGCTTCTATAAAATTTTCTAAAAATAATTCGATTTTAATTAGAGTTGCCACAAAAATTTAATTTTGCTTTTCCCTGATTACCAGATGAAATGTTGACTTTTTCCCTGACCCTATTCAATTATTATTTTCTAGAATTTTTAACTAAAATAATTCTTCTTTAAATAAATTATTTTTTTATAATTTTTGGAAAAAGTTCTTTGAGAATTTTCAAATCCATTTGTTTACAATTCAATTTTACGTGAAGTTTAGATTATTCAAAAAATTTTCAATTAAATATTTAAAAAATAAAAATTTGAAATAGTTTTAAAAAAAAATCAATTAAACTTTTTGAAAAAAATTAATTCTATAGAATTGTTAGTTAAAAGTATGAAAAATTCAAATTCTTAAAGAGTTGAATTTGAAATCTTTTTGAAAATTCAAATATTTCTAAAAATTCACACCATAATGCTTTTAATATTCAATTATTATCTAAAATTGAGAATTTAAAAAAATTTTGTAACATAATTGAATTTCTGCCAAGAATTTTATTACTTTTGAAAATAATTAAATTGTTTTTTAGAATTTTATGGAAATTTATGAAAATAATTGAATTCTTGTGAAGAATTTTTTTACAATTTCTAGAAATAATAAGGGGCCGTCCATAAACCACGTGGACACATTTGGGGGGGCGGGGGGGTGAATCAAAAGTCCACGTTTGTCCATGAAGGGGAGGGGGGGTGTTAAAGCAAATGTCAACGTGGACATATAATCAAAGATATTTCCAAAAAAGATATCTTAAGCTTAATCAGAATGATCATAAGTTTCAGTTAATCAATTTCCCTGACAATTTACTGATATTAAAATTAATTTCCCTGACAAAATTCTTTTTACAGGAAAATATGAATGTTTACGGAAAATGAGTAACATTTATGATTTTAATTATTTTTTAAAATGACAATTATAACCCTTCCTGAATTCAATTATTTTCTACAATTTCCACCCAGTAAAAAAAAGTATTGGAAGAGAGCGAATAGTATTGTCGGTGAGTTTCTGCCAATACGGTTTTCACGCGAAAACATATTGGCAGAAACTCACCGCCAATACTATTCGCTCTCTTCCAATACTTTTTTTTACTGGGCAACTAAACCTTCGTCTTTGAATCAATTAATTTAAATAATTTTCCGAAAGTTCTTCTAAAATTCTGTTATATTTTTAAATTATTTTTGAATTTGATTGATAAATTTTAATTAAAAATTTTTAACATGATTGTTTTCTCTAAAATGTTAAAAATAATTTTAAAATGTTATTTTTTTGTATATATTTGAATTTTTGAAAATATGTAATTGAGAATATTGAATTTTAAAAAATTAGAAGCTAATTTTCATTAATTTTCATTTTTAAATTTACCTTTAAAGATTTTTTATTCTACAAAAATTGTAACGAAAGACTTAAAATAAATTAATTATTTTCAATTAAATTTTACAAAATTTCAACTATTCAAAAAGATTTGTTTATACAGGGTGGCCATTTTTTTGTAAAAAAAAATTCACGGTCATTTCCCGGTCATAAATTATTTTTCCCGGTCATAAATAATAACTCTGAAAATAAATTATTCCATGAAAGATTGAAAGAATTTCCTGATTTTTTGATAAAACTTTGACTTTTTCCTAAAACCTAAAAATATTTTAGTTTACTCTAAAAATAATTTTGAACTTAAATAGATTTTTTGAAATAAATATTTAATTATTATCCATTATTTTTCCATATAGTAGGTATTCAAATTTAAAAAAATTCAAATTTTAAATCCTTTAAATTTAAATAATTTTTAAGAATTGCTACTGTAACTTATTAACAATTATTTTCAAAATTTCAATTCAATTATATTCTAGAAATAACTAAAATATTTCTAAAATCCACTTGTTTACAAGACAATTTCA